GAGTATTGAAACACATGGATGTGAGGGTTATGAGACAGATTTAAGATGTACTGAAATGTTCATCCTGCGATGTTCTGATACATAACATGGTGTGCTGTAACACCACTTAATCAAGAGTTGTGTCATATATTTTCATAGGGCAATGATCAGTAAAATAGCAAGAATACTAAGGTGGTCTTGATTAATATTGAAAGGTTGAAAGAACTGCACAATCCAGTCAGTCATTCAGGCCAGGGGGTTTGTGAGGATTCACTGACCCATTGACTGCATGCTATCTTCATGCCTACCCAACTGACATCAATACACATCTATCCAACCCCGGCTAATTCACCTCAGGTAGGAGAGGAAGCTAGAATAGTCAATTGTCGGAAGATGAAATTGTTGGACGATGGGCAACAAGAGCCCTGTTATTGTTGTCATCTGGGGGGAGGCTAGGCGAGATTGTTCCATATCCAGAGAGATATCACTGGTTGTCCTGTCAGCTGTGCCAGCCAGAGATAACACCAAGCAGTTTGTCAAGTAAAGGGCATTCTAGGTGATGTGTTGTGGCCAATAAGTCAATGGGGGGAAATGTCTATTTGTTTCAATTCATTAATTTAGAAATGAATCAATTATTTTATTGATTGTTTCTCCTCATCTCATTGCAGTCTCTACTGGTACAGGTGGCAAATGGTATTGGACCACCTGTAAAATGTTGTCTTCCTCTTACAGGGCAATGATCAGTAACACAACAAGAATACAAAGGTGTTCTTGACTCATATTGAATGTTTGAATGAACTGCACAGTCCAGTCAGTCATTCAAGCCAGGGGGTTTGTGAGGATTCACTGACCCATTGACTGATTGCATGCAATCATCATCATGCCTACCTGACTGACATCAATACACATTTATTTCACCCTAGGCAAGAGAGAGGAAACTCGAACGGTCATTGTAGATGATTATAGGGGATGATGGGCAACAAGTGAAGCATTGTCTCTATATAGTCTGAATCAATGCCATCACACACACTGACAGAAGTCCTATGAACATTCTCCCATATAGATTTGTATCTTTATTCATTTCTATGACATCTCATTATGCATTGTTGTATTAGCATATTTTAATTACTAGTTAGTTACTAGCTATTTTAATGAGTTTCTTCAAGGCCTCAAAAGTCAATGTGTCATCCCTGCAGAAGGCTACATAGCAATTTGGTGAACTAATCTGTAATCTATTCAGTAAGGGCTATGTTCCTCCTCCTCCTCTGTCTCACACAATAGGCAAGACTGTAGAGGTCCGTTGTGTTAGGTGAGTGAGTCACTAGACTGTTACTCACTTCCCAGAAAGGCTCCTTTTGGTAGGACTGGAATAAACCCATCATTTCTCACTCAATCACTCACTTTAGTACACACACACGCACGGCTGCAAACACACACACGCAGGCAGGCACACACACACACACAATTTAGTGCTCAGATTCACAATGATCATTACGTTGCCATCTAATCTTGCCTTTACAGATACTTCATTATTCCTCACAGTTATGTTCCAATGAGTAAATCCCTATAGGGAGCTAAAGCAATCCCTATACCGCTGTAGTGTGGTGCAGCCCAAGCCATGCTGCTTTTACAGTAATAAAAAATGTCATAACAAAAGGTAATCATGGTGGGCATGATCGGTCGGTCACACATGGATAATATAATAATAATAATAATAATATGCCATTTAGCAGACGCTTTTATCCAAAGCGACTTACAGTCATGCGTGCATACATTTTTTGTGTATGGGTGGTCCCGGGGATCGAACCCACTACCTTGGTGTTACAAGCGCCGTGCTCTACCAGCTGAGCTACAGAGGACCATATCCTACAGACTGTTCGTTATCCCATCTCCCATCATCATCCCTGCAGTTATCATCCAACCAACCATCCTAACCATAACCATCCCTTCAGTAGCTTTACTGCTGGGCCAATTAGCCAAGACATTGGTCTGTTGATTGGGAAGTAGAGAGGCAGAAGATGTGAATATAGCAGCAGCCAACTGTTGTTTCTATACATTTCCATACTGTCTGGTATTCCTGTGGTTGTTTTTGCTGCTGTACAGATACTGCAATGCTGATTTGATTGAATGAAGGCCCTGGACTGACACTGACATGTCTCCATAAGGATGCATCCTTGATTCCATCAGATGCACTTTACTAATCAATAGACATCAATCATCTAATGTAGCTACAGTTGAAGTCGGAAGTTTACATACACCTTAGCCAAATACATTTAAACTCAGTTTTTCACAATTCCTGACATTTAATCATAGTAAATATTCCCTGTCTTAGGTCAGTTAGGATCACCACTTTATTTTAAGAATGTGAAATGTCAGAATAATAGTAGAGAGAATGATTTATTTCAGCTTTTATTTATTTCATCACATTCCCAGTGGGTCTGAAGTTTACATACACTCAATTAGTATTTGGTAGCATTGCCTTTAAATTGTTTAACTTGGGTCAAACGTTTCGGGTAGCCTTCCACAAGCTTCCCACAAAAAGTTGGGTGAATTTTGGCCCATTCCTCCTGACAGAGCTGGTGTAACTGAGTCAGGTTTGTAGGCCTCCTTGCTCGCACACGCTTTTTCAGTTCTGCCCACACATTTTCTATAGGATTGAGGTCAGGGCTTTGGATGGCAACTCCAATACCTTGACTTTGTTGTCCTTAAGCCATTTTGCCACAACCTTGGAAGTATGCTTGGGGTCATTGTCCATTTGGAAGACCCATTTGCGACCAAGCTTTAACTTCCTGACTGATGTCTTGAGATGTTGCTTCAATATATCCATATAATTTTCCTTCCTCATGATGCCATCTATTTTGTGAAGTGCACCAGTCCCTCCTGCAGCAAAGCACCCCCACAGCATGATGCTGCCACCCCCGTGCTTCACGGTTGGGATGGTGTTCTTCGGCTTGCAAGTACCACCTTTTTCCTCCAAACATAACGATGGTCATTATGGCCAAACAGTTCTATTCATCAGACCAGAGGACATTTCTCCAAAAAGTACAATCTTTGTCTCCATGTGCAGTTGCAAACCGTAGTCTGGCTTTTTTATGGCAGTTTTGGAGCAGTGGCTTCTTCCTTGCTGAGCGGCCTTTCAGGTTATGTCGATATAGGACTCGTTTTACTGTGGATATAGATACTTTTGTACCTGTTTCCTCCAGCATCTTCACAAGGTCCTTTGCTGTTGTTCTGGGATTGATTTGCACTTTTCGCACCAAAGTACGTTCATCTCTAGGAGACAGAACTTATCTCTTTCCTGAGTGGTATGAAAGCTGCGTGGTCCCATGCTGTTTATACTTGCTTACTATTGTTTGTACAGATGAACGTTGTACCTTCAGGCGTCTGGAAATTGCTCCCAAGGATGAACCAGACTTGTGGAGGTCTACAATAGTTTTTCTGAGGTCTTGGCTGATTTCTTTTGATTTTCCCATGATGTCAAGCAAAGAGGCACTGAGTTTGAAGGTAGGCCTTGAAATACATCCACAGGTACACCTCCAATTGACTCAAATGATGTAAATTAGCCTATCAGATGCTTCTAAAGCCATGACATCATTTTCTGGAATTTTCCAAGCTGTTTAAACGGCACAGTAAATTTAGTGTATGTAAACTTCTGACCCACTGGAATTGTGATACAGTGTATTATAAGTGAAATAATCTGTCTGTAAACAATTGTTGGAAAAATTACTTGTGTGATGCACAAAGTAGATGTCCTAACCGACTTGCCAAGACTATAGTTTGTTAACAAGAAATGTGTGGAGTCGTTGAAAAACGAGTTTTAATGACTCAAACCTAAGTGTATGTAAACTTCCGACTTAAACTGTACATACAATATTGTGCCACAGTGGATTTTCGCCACTGGGATGAGACGCCCTCTTCTTGCACAGCCTGGATTTGCAGGGGGAATGTTTTTAGGAAGAACACAGGCTACAGACACAGGCAGGCAGGCAGGCGGGCAGGCACTTGAGCCTCAGATGGTTGCTGTCCCCCTCTCTCTCCGACTGTGCGAGAGACTCAGCCAATCTGTGCACGGTGACGCTGCACAAGGCTGGATCTAGACGCGCTTCATCATAATATTTAACACACCCACCCTCAATCTCACATGCGAGGGACATTGATTGTCTTTTTCCTCGCTCAGAAGGCACACGGTAGTCTATCTCCGAGAGAGAAACCGAATCGGCACCTGTCCGAATTATTTGTTTGATTCGTCTTGCTTTGGTTGTTTTGTATTGCCTGTCTTCATACGGATTTGTTGTGAACATTGCCATTTATTCTCATTCAGGGTCGCTTACTGTACTTTTGTCTGCTGCGCTTTTACACGTTGTTTTATCGTTTATAGTGGCAAAGGAGGAGCCTTTCGAATAGTCTTCTTTTAAAATTATATTTGGACATTGGTGAATAGCGCTCTCTGCGTTTTTCCTAATCCGGACTGCACCAATGCGTTGCCGGTGCCCAGCGGATCCACGACAGCTCCGTTTCTCACACAGCAGAGTTCACGCTCAATGGCCGGACCGATGTGCGCCAGCAGACCCCGCCAACACACACCTCTGATGGATCATTTATCTACCGTTTTCGAGCTGCTTTCGGGACCCTTGCACTTCCTTTATACCTTATAGTGTGCGTAAAGCCTTGGGGTCGGAGCTGTAGAGCGAAAGCAATTGAGATAATGCCGCGTGCCCAACTCGACCGTTGGTCTGAACCGAGTCGACCTGTTTTACCTGGGTGCATGCGGCGAATCCTCTCGTTCTGAATCACGAAAGGAGCCTACCGTCTGGATTTCTATGTGGTTGGGAATACAAAAGTTGAACACTGAAACATTTAGTCTACTCAAGACGGCAAGAAGTGAAGATGGTTACGTGTTCAACGTGTATTTCATTAAAGTGGCATCCAGTGTGATAAACATAATCAGTGATGTAGTGAGTCTGTTCATATGCGTGCTCATCATTTGCAGTAAATACTCGCAACTGCTCAAACAGGGGACAATGAAGATGATACTCTTCCGTAAATTCCGGGTTTTGATTCTCATGGTGTTTCTAATCGCCTGCTCGATGCACATCATGATAGACTTGTTACCAAAGCTGGAGAGGCGCAGCAACAGCGGCTGCTCCTGCTCGCACACGCCGAGCGAGGACCCTCAGAACTGGGCTAAACACCGAGCCAGGTCGGGAGCAGAGTCGGGCTGGCCTAACAAACACACTCTGAGAATCCTCCAGGACTTCAGCAATGAGCCAAACTCTAACATCTCTTCCCATTCTCTGGAGAAGAACCCCAAAGCGGGAAACAAAACGGAAGCCTTTAAACAGGTTGAACATTATGCACAAAATGGTGACAAAAAGAGACGGTTCATTCAAGACGCTGTGGTCACCAAAAACATACCTGTCAAGGGTTCAAGGTTGCTGGCTCTATTTGACCACCCGTTATTCAAGAGAGCCTTACCGTCTCTGACCGACGAAGACACCTTGTTCAACGTCAACACAGACATCAGATTTGACCCCAATGCCGCCACAGAGAATCAGGAATGGTAACATATATTTTTATATATTGATAGACCATCACCACAATCGAAAAGTGATTATTAGCCTCTCCGAATTCAATTCAAGACAATAACATAAATGAAACAAACAATTCACCTAGGATATTATGTGTAAATTACCAATTTAATCTTGTTATTACACATTAATAAAGGTGTTATTACACAAATGGTTATAGGCTACCTAACCATATTATCAAATGTCCCTCTTGCAAATTCAAGTCCCTTTGCAAAACATGTCGCCTCTTAACACACAAAACACTAAAAAAGCTGAAACACTAAAAAGGAGGGCGGTCCAGGGGCTACAGAAAAAGCATACTCATGTCATTCTCCCCATTGAAATAACACTGATCACCTCTCCCTCCTCCCTCCCCTCTTCCCCCCAGGCACGCTGAAGGGAACATGGAGGAGTATACTCCAACAGGAGGAGAGCTGACGGCTGACTCCTACCCCAACTGGCTCCGTTTCCACATAGGGATTAATCGATATGAGCTCTACTCCAGACATTACCTAGTCATCGATGCCCTGCTCAGGGACCTGGTCTCACAGAGAATCACCAGCGTCGGTAAGTCAGAGAAGAGGAGAGAAGGCAGCTTCTCTATAGCTTTGTCTCAGATCTGTTTGTGCTTTATTGAGCCAACCCTTATGTCATATAGCAGAGGTAGGCAACCCTGGTCCTGGAGTGCCGCAGGCACTTCATGTTTTTGGTTTAACCAACCTGGAAGTCCAGGTGTGTTGAATTTAGGCATAGCCGCGGGAAGTAGGGGTGCTGAGGTTGCTGCAGCACTCCCTGAAAAATCTGAATAAAAAAATATTATATATATATTTTTTTTAATGCACCACACCCACCCCCAAACAGCTTCCCGTGACTATGAATTTAGGCAATCACTGAACTGATAAATTATCTCAGTTGGTCAGGTGTGATGCCTACAGTGTAGTTCGAACAAAATCCTGCAGTACCTGCGGCACTCCAGGAACAGGGTTGCCTACCCCTGTCATTGAGGTTGAGGAACTAGCCTGGTTCCAGATCTGTATGTGGATTGTGTAGCCAACTCCTCTGACTATCATTGTCACAGAGGACTTGGCAAAGGCACATACAGATTTGGGACTGGCTAGTTTCTCCTCTGTATGGCACAACAACAATAGTCAGAGTAGTTAGCTAAACTAAGCACATAAGGGTCTTTCTATGAACTAGGGTACCGGTGAGGATTTCCCACACTGGACAACTTGATAAGTCATTGATAATAATCTGCAAAAAAAATTTCATGTCATTACATTAAGATATAAGGGGGGGATCATAGCTATATTCCCCAATCCAATTCACAAGTTGATTTAAAACCTATGTTTAATCCTTTATCGTGGTTGGTGTCTTGATGGATTTTTCCAAAATTGTGTGACATAAAACATTACTTTTGTCCTTGCATTTATGGCAGTGTAAATTGTCATTATAACATATACAGTATTAAGCATTAATCAGTTAAATTAGACATTGAACGCTGTAAGAATCCTGGATCTTGCTGTCGGTCAGTTTTTTGTATAGAGATCTCAGAAATGCAGTGTAACTACAAAACATTTTGTGTCTTCTTATGTTACGGGGTGAAAACTGTTTTCATGGGCACACAAATCCAAAATAATAAATGCGATTGCAAAATCGAAAGCTCCCAACCAAAAGAGTCACCTTACCTTGATACTTAAAACCTAAATTGATACTGTCATTAACGTGGTTCTTCAATAATTATGACTAATACTTGTTGGATGCGCATTTGGTGTCCAGCTGATTAGTTACGCTGTGATATTTTCACACCTCATCATCTGATCTAGGAAGTAATTTTCCGAATGACAGTCAAGTGACAAACAGCTGTTGTGATAGCGCATGTGATGCAACAACAGCCCAAGTGCTGGAAAAAAAGTGGTTTCGAGGAATGTCCAGAATATTTTGGTGTCTCATTCGTTACGCCGGTGAAGACAGTTGTGCCTGGAGCCACGTTGGCTCTAATATCCCTAGCGAATTGATGTTGATCATCTGTTGTTGTCTGCTTGATTTACAACAGGGTCTCGTTAGATTTAACAGATCATGCATCAAGGTAATGAGTTCATGTTTTCATATGTTTTTGTGCCTTGTATTGGACACCAAGTCTACTTTGCGCATTTGTGTAAGATAGACTATTGCACAACACCCAAAGCTATTCCTATTAATTATTCTGGATATAATGACAACAAATTACATAGCCTAGTGGGCTTATTCACAATATGATCTGGTAATGAAAATAACATGACAAATACATTTTGTTTTCCATGTTACACCTGCAATTTTAAACAATACGATTTCCTCAATTTGGTGCTTGAAAAGTCCTTGTAATTATTGTAGCCAATTTATAAGTTCTCCTGCTCCCTTATAATTTTCCGTGATTACATTTTTGATCCGTTTTTGTGAGAGATGTGGCCACTTTCGTTTGTTTCCAGCCGCTTCAATTGAAGGGTGTTGACCTACTCTGTTGCGGTAAAACCACCTGCGGTTATTATGAGGACAACAACATCTAATGCTGGCTTCAACTTGGCTTTCCATACAAATTCTTCCATTAAAAAAGGAGCCTGGTTTTTGGTCACTTTCTCATTAAAAACAGCAATGGGTGGGATTCAAATGGTGAGATTAATGCTACCGCTATTCATGGTTTTATTATGTGTGCTTGCGTCGGCCACATAGGCTACAGAAAAATCGCCACGCATGCATCCAATCTAGTCAGGCAATGTCCACATTATTCTCACATATTTTAGAATGTAATAATAATTTCAGTATCAATGCATTGGCAAGGCCTAAAAAGAATATGTTTTCTTAAAGTGGTAAGGGCCATCTTTTTTAAAAACACTTTTTGCATGCTTTTGGGGGGAGAGGGCCCTATATGTACAATTATATAAATTATACAATTGTGTAACATTGAGGTCCAATTAAGTGCTTGAAAAAGTCCCTGAAAGTCATTGGATTTGACTTGCCAATGTCTGTATGAACCCTGCTTAAAGGATGTATAGTCCTAGGCCTATGTTGCAGAATTGGTGGAGTTATGGGTCAATTTGCATATATTCACTTTTATACCACTAAGTACACATGTGGAACTGCACGAAAATAATTTTTATTTTTGTTTCAAACCATTTTGAAATGTTGATCCCAATGTCATATATTGGCCCAATTATTTATAGAAAGACCCATAAACAGATCTGGGACCAGGCTATGTTCTCTCTCCAGATCCACACACAGTGAAACGAGAGGATGCAGGGTGGATGCAGCTTGGTCTGGCAGTATGGTCAGCTACATGCTGCTCCCTCCAGCCCATGTAATTACCCAGCTATATGACTGAGTGGCCAGGATGTGAATGCCAATTGAGACTACAAAAGCCAGCAGTTGGTAGTATGGTTTTTGCTTTGTATAGCAGACCTAGCTACAGTCAGACCTACTACACTCATTCACAGAAGGAATACAACACAAATGATAAACAAATATTAGATATTGTATATTGATAGTGTATGACAAATTCCATTTTGTAGTTGTGTCACGGATTCTGCCGAGGCTGCCCCTCCTCCTTGCTCGGGCAGGCTTCGGCGTTCGTCATCACCGGAGTACTAGTTGCTGCCGATCTATGTTCTATGTTTCTATGTTCTACCTGTTGTTGTCTGATTGTCACACACCTGTTTCCCATCGTGCAATTACTCCTTCCCTATTTAACCCGGTGGCTCCCATTGTGTTTGTGCGTGTTTGTTATTTCGTTTCCTGTGTCGTTTGGTGAGCAGGTTTACTCCACCCTGTGTGGAGGTATTTGTATTTGTTTCTTTACTTGTTAGTAAAGTACGTTTTCATTGAGTTCTGTGTCCTGCGCCTGACTTCGATCCACTGCATTACACTGACACTCGTGACAAGTTGATATGTGACATATTTGGTAATGTGAATTTGAAGAGTTTATTTACAAAACGCTATATCCACCAATTTTTCACATTTGTGTTTTTTCACCAGGGATTATTGCTTATGGGTACCTTCATGTGTGTATAAAATATTACTGTTCTCAAATTTTAATTTAATAGATTTTAGGTGTGTATTAAAAGTAGTTTGTGTTGCATTGTTTAGCTGGAATGGAGTGTCATGCCTCCCTTGGAGGTCTGGAGATTTTTGTATTGCAAAAATGGTTTGATTTGGATTCGATGTTACATTTCACGAACCATCCCCCCACACGCCCGGAGAAGGGGTGCTGTGTGTTATGTGCGTCACTGTTTTCCGTCCGTGAAGTTGTTGCCTATGCTAGTTTGAAGTGCTAGTTGTGAAGTTATCAGCCAGCGATTTATATTTATTGAAAGTGGATTACGCTGGTAAAGTCAAACGTCACAACACGTTCGAAAACCACTCTGGTGACAAACACACTTTTTTCCTGGTCTCCATTCGTCCACATGGCTGCTGGCTGAGCTTTGCTACCATCAAAAATATCATGAATATTGCCCACTATTCTCTTTTGTAAGGACCCAAAAAACAGAGGCAGTCGGAGAAACTATTCAAGTAAGTAAATAAATATTTGTAATGTTAAAAAACTATGTATTATTAGCTAGCTAGCTAGCTGGCTACAGTAGGCCACTTTGTAGGCTAACTCAACTGAGCTGCTAGCTAACTTTACACACTGTTTAGCTAAGTGATTTAAATGTCATCAGCTAGCTAACTTCATATTAGCTAGTTATCGTGATGTAATCGTTCTAAATAAAAAACAGTCTCCAAATGCATTTGTAGATAACAGCCATGGAAGAGGGTAAAATTGCAGCCCCAGCTGTCAGGAGAGTGTAGGCTACTGGATAGGGCAGGAAATATTGTGGGAGGACAATATGAAAATATTCTCTAGTTCCAGTCCCTAAAGGGGAAAACTTTGAGGACAGAGAGATAATAGCAACATAATATTCAGTGCTGTCTAATTTTAGTATAATGAAGCCTGTTTCTTTGTGATGTTTTCTGTCCGCAGATATGGAAAGCTGTGAAAGCATGTTTGCAGATGAAGAGAGCGGTCCCAATGAATGTCCCAAGAGACTAAGGGTGTATCCTATATGCCATTGGCAGTGGTGGAAAAAGTACCCAATTGTCATACTTGAGTAAAAGTAAAGATACCTTAATAGAAAATGACTCAAGTAAAAGTGAAAGTAACCCAGTAAAATCCTACTTGAGTAAAAGCCTAAAAGTATTTGGTTTTAAATATACTTACGTATCAAAGTAAATGTAATTGCTAAAATATACTTAAGTATCAAAAGTAAAAGTAAAAGGTATAAATCATTTAAAATTCCTTATATTAAGAAAACCTGACAGCACCATTATTAAAAATAAAAATACGGATAGCCAGAGGCACACTCCAACACTCATACATCATTTACAAATGAAGCATGTGTTTAGTGAGTCCGCCAGATCAGAGACAGTAGGGATGACCAGGGATGTTCTCTTGATAAGTGTGTGAATTAGACAAATTTCCCATCCTGCATTCAAAATGTAACGAGTACTTTTGGGTGTCAGGGAAAATGTATAGAGTAAAAAGTACATCATTTTCTTTAGGAATGTAGTGAAGTAAAAGTAAAAGTTGTCAAAAATATAAATAGTAAAGGAAAGTACAGATACCCCAAAAAACTGCTTAAGTAGTACTTTCAAGTATTTTTACTTCAGTACTTTACACCACTGGCCATGGGTGACTGTATATGTGTAGGCCTACCTACAGTGAGGGGGAAAAACTATTTGATCCCCTGCTGATTTTGTGCGTTTGCCCACTGACAAAGAAATGATCAGTCTATAATTTTAATGGTAGGTTTATTTGAACAGTGAGAGACAGAATAACAACAAAAGAATCCAGAAAAACGCATGTCAAAAATGTTATAAATTGATTTGCATTTTAATGAGGGAAATAAGTATTTGACTCTCAATCAGAAAGATTTCTGGCTCCCAGGTGTCTTTTCTACAGGTAACGAGCTGAGATTAGGAGCACACTCTTAAAGGGAGTGCTCCTAATCTCAGTTTGTTACCTGTATAAAAGACACCTGTCCACAGAAGCAATCAATCAATCAGATTCCAAACTCTCCACCATGGCCAAGACCAAAGAGCTCTCCAAGGATGTCAGGGACAAGATTGTAGACCTACACAAGGCTGGAATGGGCTACAAGACCATCGCCAAGCAGCTTGGTGAGAAGGTGACAACAGTTGGTGCGATTATTCGCAAATGGAAGAAACACAATAGAACTGTCAATCTCCCTCGGCCTGGGGCTCCATGCAAGATCTCACCTCGTGGAGTTGCAATGATCATGAGAACGGTGAGGAATCAGCCCAGAACTACACGGGAGGATCTTGTCAATGATCTCAAGGCAGCTGGGACCATAGTCACCAAGAAAACAATTGGTAACACACTACGCCGTGAAGGACTGAAATCCTGAAGCGCCCGCAAGGTCCCCCTGCTCAAGAAACCACATATACAGGCCCGTCAGAAGTTTGCCAATGAAGATCTGAATGATTCAGAGGAGAACTGTGTGAAAGTGTTGTGGTCAGATGAGACCAAAATCGAGCTCTTTGGCATCAACTCAACTCGCCGTGTTTGGAGGAGGAGGAATGCTGCCTATAACCCCAAGAACACCATCCCCACCGTCAAACATGGAGGTGGAAACATTATGCTTTGGGGTGTTTTTCTGCTAAGGGGACAGGACAACTTCACCGCATCAAAGGGAAGATGGACGGCGCCATGTACCGTCAAATCTTGGGTGAGAACCTCCTTCCCTCAGCCAGGGCATTGGAAATGGGTCGTGGATTGGTATTCCAGTATGACAATGACCCAAAACACACGGCCAAGGCAACAAAGGAGTGGCTCAAGAAGAAGCACATGAAGGTCCTGGAGTGGCCTAGCCAGTCTCCAGACCTTAATCCCATAGAAAATCTGTGGAGGAAGCTGATGGTTCGAGTTGCCAAACGTCAGGCTCAACCTTAATGACTTGGAGAAGATCTGCAAAGAGGAGTGGGACAAAATCCCTCCTGAGATGTGTGCAAACCTGGTGGCCAACTACAAGAAACGTCTGACCTCTGTGATTGCCAACAAGGGTTTTGCCACCAAGTACTAAGTCATGTTTTGCAGAGGGGTCAAATACTTATTTCCCTCATTAAAATGCAAATCAATTTATAACATTTTTGACATGCATTTTTCTGGATTTATTTGTTGTTATTCTGTCTCTCACTGTTCAAATAAACCTACCATAAAAATTATAGACTGATCATGTCTTTGTCAGTGGGCAAACGTACAAAATCAGCAGGGGATCAAATACTTTTTTCCCTCACTGTATGTTAGTAAATGTTGTATGCAAAAATACAGTTAAACATCACACACAATGTATAAAACTATTACAATTGGAGCAGGCCAACCCTGCTTGTCTTCTGGGTGTGCTGGGTTCTGTTTCAGCCCAGCAATAACACACCTGATTCAATTGATCAAATCGAATGAGTTGATAATCTAGTGTGCTATTGCTTGGCTGGAATACAAGTCTGCTCACCCAGTAGATCAAGGATCAGTGGATCAAGGTTGGCCACCTCTGGCATGGAGTTGTTTTTGTTCACCTGAGGTGATGCTTTAGCCTACTTGATGCTACTCAAGTATCTATTGTTGTTTAGACTAAGATGTCTAATCTTTACATACGAGTTAGCTTATTTGTACATTTTGAAGTGATGAAGTGTTGATTCTTTGAAGTTAAGTTTAAACTTGTTTTAATTGTTAAACTATTATTCAAAATCAACTAGCGTCAATGTTGATTAATCACATACAGTATCACAATCCTACAATAAAGAGGGGAATGGGTTCTGTCTCTGTGTTTCTGTGTTGTATTCTCAAATGAACATTGCATTTTTGTCTAGTTGTAAGATCTCCAATCTGTTTCATTTGATTGACACACTCTCTCAGTATATCAGCTATCTGAATCTATTTAGCAGCTTATCATACAGTGGGGGAAAAAAGTATTTAGTCAGCCACCAATTGTGCAAGTTCTCCCACTTAAAAAGATGAGAGAGGCCTGTAATTTTCATCATAGGTACACGTCAACTATGACAGACAAAATGAGGAAAAAAAATCCAGAAAATCACATTGTATGATTTTTAATGAATTTATTTGCAAATTATGGTGGAAAATAAGTATTTGGTCAATAACAAAAGTTTCTCAATAATTTGTTATATACCCTTTGTTGGCAATGACACAGGTCAAACGTTTTCTGTAAGTCTTCACAAGGTTCACACACTGTTGCTGGTATTTTGGCCCATTCCTCCATGCAGATCTCCTCTAGAGCAGTAATGTTTTGGGGCTGTCGCTGGGCAACACGGACTTTCAACTCCCTCCAAAGATTTTCTATGGGGTTGAGATCTGGAGACTGGCTAGGCCACTCCAGGACCTTGAAATGCTTCTTATGAAGCCACTCCTTCGTTGCCCGGGCGGTGTGTTTGGGATCATTGTCATGCTGAAAGACCCAGCCACGTTTCATCTTCAATGCCCTTGCTGATGGAAGGAGGTTTTCACTCAAAATCTCACGATACATGGCCCCATTCATTCTTTCCTTTACACGGATCAGTCGTCCTGGTCCCTTTGCAGAAAAACAGCCCCAAAGCATGATGTTTCCACCCCCATGCTTCACAGTAGGTATGGTGTTCTTTGGATGCAACTCAGCATTCTTTGTCCTCCAAACACGACGAGTTGAGTTTTTACCAAAAAGTTATATTTTGGTTTCATCTGACCATATGACATTCTCCCAATCCTCTTCTGGATCATCCAAATGCACTCTAGCAAACTTCAGACGGGCCTGGACATGTACTGGCTTAAGCAGGGGGACACGTCTGGCACTGCAGGATTTGAGTCCCTGGCAGCGTAGTGTGTTACTGATGGTAGGCTTTGTTACTTTGGTCCCAGCTCTCTGCAGGTCATTCACTAGGTCCCCCCGTGTGGTTCTGGGATTTTTGCTCTCCGTTCTTGTGATCATTTTGACCCCACGGGGTCAGATCTTACATGGAGCCCCAGATCGAGGGAGATTATCAGTGGTCTTGTATGTCTTCCATTTCCTAATAATTGCTCCCACAGTTGATTTCTTCAAACCAAGCTGCTTACCTATTGCAGATTCAGTCTTCCCAGCCTGGTGCAGGTCTACAATTTTGTTTCTGGTGTCCTTTGACAGCTCTTTGGTCTTGGCCATAGTGGAGTTTGGAGTGTGACTGTTTGAGGTTGTGGACAGGTGTCTTTTATACTGATAACAAGTTCAAACAGGTGCCATTAATACAGGTAACGAGTGGAGGACAGAGGAGCCTCTTAAAGAAGAAGTTACAGGTCTGTGAGAGCTAGAAATCTTGCTTGTTTGTAGGTGACCAAATACTTATTTTCCACCATAATTTGCAAATAAATTCATTAAAAATCCTACAATATGATTTTTGGATTTTTTTTCCTCAATTTGTCTGTCATAGTTGACGTGCACCTATGATGAAAATTACAGGCCTCTCTCATCTTTTTAAGTGGGAGAACTTGCACAA